CAGGCTGTGTTAGGCCCTCGAGAGGCAAAGGAAACAAGGCAGAGTTTCCTGCCTTAGGCAGGCAAAAGGCAGATGCAAAAGAAGTCAGTAAAATTACCAATTGGTAGTCCTGGCCGATGTGGCTCAGTAGGTTGAGCTTCGTCCTGTACACGGAAGGCTCGCCGGTTCGATTCCTGGTCAGGCACATACCCAGGTTGTGGGTTCAATCCCCTGTTGGGGTGTGTGTATCTGAGGCAGCCAATCGATGTTTCTCTCTCTCCCTCTCCCTTCCTTTCTCTAAAATCAATAAAAACCTATTTTTAAAAAATTACCAATTGGTAGTAAATGCTATAAAGAAAATGGAGGGGGGGGGCTCAAAATAAAGAATAATGGGGAGAGGGAACTGCTTCTGGTCAGGGAAACCTCTCTGAGGAGGTAATGTTTAAGCTGAGAACTGAGGATGGAGGAATCAGCCTTGGAAGGAAGAGAATTCCAGGCAGAGAGAACAGCATGGACAAAGGCCAGAGGCAGGAAAGAAGTTGGCATATTTGAGGAACAGGACTAGAAAGAGCAGAGTGGCTTAAATATAAGTGACGTGGAAGGAGAAACAATTTGAGTTTGAAGAAAGAGGCAGGGGCCAGATCCTGGAGGGCTTCGTGCAGGTTGCACACGGCGAAAGGGCTCGCGATGTGAAGTGGTTGGGCCAGTGTGGCTGCTGTCAACCCAGAGGGAGGGAGGCCTTTTTATAATTTGTCTGCCCTGAGGGACGTGTTATGGAAAACAGTTTAGATCTTATTCTTTTATTCCAGGGGAAGCCATAATGAGTTTTAAGCCGAGAAGGGTTATGATCTGATTTCCTTTTTGGAAAGCTTGCTGTGTGAAGGGATGGTCCAGGGATAAGAAAGGAAGGAGGGAGGCCGTTCAGGAGGCAAGGGCAGTGGTACAGGAAGGAGGGAGGCCAGGCAAAACACAAAGCCCATAAAAATCCAGACAATTTCAGGTGGTGACGAAAAATATGATGGAAATAAAACAGGACTCCTTCACGTCGAAGGGTGTGACTGTATTTCAGACTGGGCAGCAAGACCTTTGGGAGGCAGAGTTGACGGCCGAAGGGGCCAGCTCTGGGAGGGGCAAGTGCAGAGACCCCCCAAGGGGAGGGATCTGCCGTGTACCAGGCAAAACAAGGTGGCCAGAGCAGGGACCCAGAGGGGGAGACAAGCCAGGCAGGGATCAGAAATCCAAGCCTACGAGCTAGAAATCGTACTTTGGGGACACTGGAAACCCATGGAGGAGATCCATGGCTGGGCCTGTCACAAGTTGGCTGGATGATGGCTAAGGTCTCCTCTGCAGGAGACCCCAGGCCCGGGGAAGAGAGGGTGCCCAGCACAGTCATCTACACAAGGATAGCGAAGGACTGCAGAGGAGACTTGGCCGCCACCTGTTGTGGGTATTTGGGGAGGGAGACTCAAAATGTATTGAAACAAGAGGCTTAAGTCTGAAGAAGGCGTGGGCCTCCGGTTCAGGCCCATACATGTCCGTCAAAAATCCCCCGACTATTCCCCTGGCTGCAGGCTCCACGTAAACAAGGTGTAAAATACAGCGTCTGTGCGTGCACATGTGTGTGTTGGGGGGTGGGTGCACGGTGGAGTCAGAGCTCGCCTGAGCCCAATCGTACAGCGTCTGTGCGTACACGTGTGTGCTGGGGGCGGGGAGGGGGGTGCACGGTGGAGTCAGAGCTCGCCTGAGCCCAATCCCTCCGTCAGGCAGTCATCACGCGGACACAGATGCAAAAACCGTCCATTTTATACAGTTTGTGGTTCAGAAGCAACAAAATGAAAAATGGTGGGACAGCCGGTCCTGCCCTCACCCCACCTGGACATGCCCATTTCTGTCCCCCAAGGGGCAGAGAACCCAACGTAGTTGCAGGCCCCTGGGCGAGGGGACCGTTAGCTGGAACTGTGTGTACGGAAGGTGGGGGGACTACAGGCCATAGGCCATTTCTCCCCAAGGCCCAGGGGGCGAGTAAAGCTGAGGAGAGCTTCGTGGGGCAGGGTCCTCCTCCGGGAGGAGTTTTCCTGGACACCCCACAAGGCACTGCTGACCAGATGTAGGATGGCCCCGAACACCTCCCCGCCCCGAGCCCGGCTGGCTCTCCCTGCGCCAGCTCCCACGGTGGTTAAGGGAGGAGGAAAGGCGTCTGGGGCCGGGGTTCAGCGCTGGGCAGAGACCAGCCGGGCAC